GTTGGACAGACCAGAGTTGATTTCAAAAAGAAAGAGTGTGGTCCAAGCTGGTCAGATACGGATGCAGGGTCAGCGTAAGGGAAAGTCCCGCACAGTGATTTTTAAGGACAAAGTTTTGGGCACAGGGAAGTCCCGCTTTGAATTCTGCCCGTTCCTTTCACCAGCTCCGAGCCCCTGAGCGCTCCTCTGCAGTGCAGACCACAGCTCCTGTCTAGAAACGATGCTGCCTGTGCAACCAGGAAAACGCGTGCCAAGCACCAGCCCCTTCTTGGGCACAGGAGCCAAAGCTGCTAAGATGTTCACGCATTCTGCAGGATCCCCATAAAGACTGCTCTGACTGTGGTCCCCCTCAGAGTTCTCAGTTCCAACAGCACAGATCCCAAAGCCACGCGAGATCAACGTGCGCCTCCCTCCCTTGTGACTTGGGCTGACAGCCTCCATTCCAGCTTCCCCCTTGGAACCAGAGACTCCTCACGAGCCGCGCAAAAACTCCACTTAAACGATGCCAGTGGAGTTTTGTCAACCTTAGAAGGGGAAGCGTCTGATGTGCAGCCTTCAGGAGGTGGGGGACTTGAGTCTAAAAAGACGTTCGGAGAAGCACGGCCACCCACCGAGGACTGGCTGAGCCCGAGTCCTCCCCAGGTGACGTCGCTCAGACACTTCTTCCAGAATCGGGGCCGTGGGGCTCTGGAACCCGGGCTCCCGCGCCAGGGGGCATACACCTGGGGCGGGGAGTGGGGGGTGGCTGCACAAACAGAACCCACCTCCCAGATCCTGGATTCACGCAGCTGTGGAAAACAGCCCTTGACACATTGATTCTCCCAGTGAAGACATTTTACTACCAACCCTTTCTTTTCTACCTTGAGAGAAAAAGAACCTTTTTGACAAGGCGCAGAAACAGCGAGGGGGTTCTCTAAACACACGTTTTCTGCACGTCAGTTAAACTGTACGTTGTAGATCGTCCCGCGGCTCCTTGGGGACCGTGACATTTCTCTCCATCTTGAGCCACCAGCGGTCTCTACTTCTCCCATTCTCTCCCCCACTCCTCCTAACCCGTCAGGGGCGTGCATGTCCATGGAGGAGCGCCGGGTTAGGGACCCATGGAAGTCACGCCACTTGGCCGCTGTCCGTCCGTCCGTCCGTCTTCTTCTCTCCTCCTTTCCATTTCTGCTTTTTTCTTAAAAAAAAAAAATCCTGACTTAAGAAAACTTGATCTGTTTGGAACAGACTGGCCCCAGCTATTCCTTCCTGTGCTCCTAGACAGAAGGAGGAGCCCAGTCCAGAGGGCCCAGAAGATTCCAGAGGGGAACCTGCCAAGAGAGGCCAAGGGCAAATGGGGCCTTCTCCGCAGGGGACATTCAATAACTCTCTTGGCCTTTATGCCGCAGGACAGGGGCTCATTTGCTCGACGACGTGGGGTGACAGCCGCCGTTTTGTTGCTGCGTGGCCGGAGCTGGAAATCCGCAAGGTTCTCGGAGGCCTGGGGGTTATCTTAGCCAGGGAGGGGGAAGACATGGAAATCGGAGGCGTTCTGGCAAGTTCAGCAGAAATCCAACTTCTGTGAGGGGCCGGCCCGGCCCGGGGAGGAAGGAATGTGCAGTCTCCCTTTGAGGGTGAGATTTCCTGCCTCTTGTCGCAGGGTTGTCTGGACCCGATGCACAGGCGAAGCCCGCATCAACGACTTGAAAGGAAACCAACCCTATTCCTGAAGGTTTGGCAGCAGCGATGTTCATTGTTGAGAAAGGGGAAGAAGGAAAAAGAAAAAAAAAAAAAAACAAGACTAATGAACTCCTCTCCCTTCGGTATTTTCAAAGGCCTCCTGTGTAGTGCCTGTTCTTCTTCTTTTTCCCTGGGTTCTTAGGAACTCTCATTAGCCCCTCTATAAATGCTACTTTAAGGGCTTGTAACTTTGTCATTAAATCTTCACTCCAAGATGAATTAAGGCTGCAGCCAAGAAATGCCCTCCCCACCCCCCAACCAACTTCTTGACAATTACCCAAAAGGCAGGAAAAGAGATTCGTGGGGGGATTTTTTTTTAGGACTCGTTTATGCGCCTTCCTGTCAAGGAGTGATTAATTCAGGGCCACTTAAGTTTTTCTAACTTTCATCCGTAATGGGCACGTTGACATTTTTATTTGAATCTCTTTACGCCATCCAAAATAATCTCCCTCAGCAACAGAAACTGCTGGTTAATTGCCACAGAGCAGCTGTTCCCGCTCCTCCTCGACAGCCTCTTTCAGGATGATTTTGAGCTGGGAGCCTGCAGAAGGCCCAGGCCTGCGACAGCATGTCAGGTGGATTGATTGAATGGTCCCCCTGTTCCTGAGAAGCCCCAAATGTGAGAGACCTCGGCTTCCACATGACTGACTTTTACCCAGATCGGTCTGTTCCGTGGGTCACCCCGGTCCTGGACACAGGAGTTCATGCACCATTAATCTGATTTTCTGGTTAATTGAAGGCTAACCAGAAAACGGCTTTGAAACTTCCCTCGTGTTGCAAAGTCGTCTGAAACGAACACTTCCAGAGCAGCAGAATCGGAAGTGAAAGAGGAGCAGAGGCCTGGATGGGCAAGGCCCCGGTCTGTGGATCCTGCCGAGTGACCTGAGCTGCCTGTCTTCCACACAGCGCATTCCGTCTGTGAATATGACTTTTGTTCTTGGATGCTCGCTTCTTGTGTTATTATTAGTAAAGTGAATGCTTTCAAAAGAAAAGGAAAAAAAAAAAAAAAAAACTTGTTTTCTTGATGGTGAGGGAGCTGCCAGGGCATTCTGCTGCCCTTGACTGTAGAAGTGGAGATCCCAGGTCCCAGGCAGCATCCTCCGGAGACGACGGGAAGCATCTGTGGCCCTCCTAGACTCTCCAAACGAATCTTTTTAAAACTCAGCTCCGTTCCAAGGGTGGGCCATGCAAACCCATCTCAGTTACACGGATGGGTTCCTGGGATTCCGATTTTCATTACCCTGCTCTAAGGTTGGCCCTTTGCAGAGTGTTGACATAACTTGTGGCAAAAGAAGAAAAGGAAAAGAAAGGAAAAAAAAAAAAAACAGAAGCTTAAATAATCTGTATGCTTTTATTTATTTATTTTACTTTTCGAAAGTATCACCTTCAACAGCTGTTCCACATCTGGCCATTTTTAGGGCTGTCCAACCACACTGTTAATCCAGGTGGCCTATTGAACCACAGTTAATAGTCCACTGATTAATAATGGATTCCAAGTTAAACAAGGCACGTGTGCATTAAAGAAATCAGTACAGAAATGTACTATATATATATATATATATATATATATATATATATATACCTATATTCTTTTCTGATCACAAACTTAGCGTGTGTTATAAGTCCTAACAATACAGGAAAGTAAGAGAAAGTGCAAGTTCTGGAAAGACTCTCCTGTGGGAATAACTATTTCACAATTTTTTGAAGTGCCTGGCCCCTGTCCCTGTATGGAAGTGGCAGGGCCTGGAATCCAGTTCGTCCCAGGTCAGGCATCTACAGTGCAAGGTGATCAACCCCCATCTGATTCCTGGGTAACCAAAGCCTTGGGAGAAACTCCAATCAGCCTCCCGGCTCCTCTCAAAGTCCCCAGGGAGAAAAGTGCTGTTTTCCAACGGACATCTAAGGATCCTGCCTGCCGTCCACTTCAAGAGTTCTCTCTGTGGATCAAACTGGACACCAGAAACCTGCTCATTGGACATGTCTATCTAGGCCAAGTTCAGGAGTTACACACACCTGTGATCTCCACTTGGAGCTGCCTGTCTTCCGCTCAGCCTGGACGTGGCTTTGAATCCTGCTCGGCGGATTCCAAGTAACCGGAATGGACACCCAACAAAGTGCTTATTTCTCTTGCCTTTTGGCCACTGCCCTGGGAATTCTGCAACTGTATTCGCTCTCAAAGATGACATTGAACTTCTGTCCTCATTGCTCCCTTATGAAGATTCTTGAGTGTAAAATGGACCTGTGAACGAAGCATTTGGAAAACTCTTTGCCCCTGGAAGAACTGTGTGTTCCGGCGGAGTGAAGCTTGTCCCGGTCACCAGGCCCTTCCCCGCTTGATGCTCTCCGGTAGCAGGCAGGATGAGCTCAGGAGAGTCCCGTTTACAACTTTCGTTTTTGGCCTGTCCAGAGTTTTTATCTCTGTCTTTTGTGTTTGGGGTTGTGAACTGCCTTATATCAAACAGGAGAAGGTATAAATAAGTAAATAAGCAAATTAAAAAATCATGCATCCAATCTGGTGTCTTAGCAATCCATGCAGCCCTCAGTCGGAAGGCTTCTGCTTTTTTTCTTCATGCCTGAAAACACCCGCGCCTTTGATGGCTATCTCAGAAGAAAGAATGGCTGTCAGTTCTAGGTGACGGCGGCTGGAAGGACCTAAAACTGGGTCGATGGCCTGGATGTAGGAGTTCTTGATTTACATCCTTTGGAAAAACGTGGTGACAGACCCACTTTACAGAGTCGCAAAGGCAGGCTCACTTCCTAGGGCCCCCGGAGAGTCTGAGACGTGTCAGCCCCAAGACCTGTGTCCTGTCCGCTTTGCTCGGTGGTCTTTTGCAATCTTTTCCATTTCAAAACTGCTTTCTGCCAGCGCAGTGGCGCACACCTGACATCCCAGAGGCTCAGGAGGCTGAGGCAGGAGGATCGCGAGTTCAAAGCCAGCCCCAGCAAAAGCGAGGCACGAAGCCACTCAGTGAGACGCTGTCTCTAAATAAAATACAAAATAGGGCTGGGGATGGGGCTCAGAGGTCAAGGGCCCCTGAGTTCAATTCCTGGTACTCCAAAAAAAACAAAAACAAAACAAAACCGATTTCTGCGCGCCATGATCATTCCAAATGCTGTGGCTGAGCACCTCTAATGTCTACTTTGTTTAGCAATCAGAACAGCAAAGAAGACTTCCCCAAACACAGGAATTCTCTAAATGAGGGATCCGTGAGGTACTAGGCTTCCAACCCCCAGCCCTATATGGAGAAGCAATGTGAATACACAAAATAAGGAAAACATACCCAGAATGGTTGCTTAAAATTCTCAGCTGTCAGCCTGGCCGTCTTGGGTGTGAGAGAAAGAAAGCAAGAAACGTCGGTTAACCACACCGCTGTCGGGGCTCCGTGGGCAGCGAGGACCAGACTCGCATTGTCTGCGCCCTGTTTTGGACAAGCTCATTTGCATTCGGGGACAAAGGTCCGCTGTTGGAGACCCTTTCTCTCCGTCCTCCTCCTCCCCAAGGCACCTCCCCGTCCGCGCCTCCCTCCTCCCACCAGAACCTACAGGAAGAAACACAAATCTGTTATTTTAACACAACGCGGGCCGCAAAGTGGTGTTTTCACTCCGAATAAAGCTGGGGGAAGCCCAAGAAGGGGGCCCTTTTATTTGCAGAAGATTCTCAAAGGAAGTCGCCATGAACCGGGGGCCAGCGCAGATGAATAAAGTTGTTAGAGAGTTTGCAGCCTGTGGCCTGGGGGCCACACTGTAAGTTCCCCAACTGTCGCTCCGCTGGAGCACTTTGCATCAGAATGCATAATTGCATCTGTTTAATTAC